AGATAGATAGATTTTTTCAGGAATGTTCTGCCTTTAAAAAATGTTTTCTCTTTGTAGACGTGTCTGAACAGAACGTGTCTGAACAGAACGCAGAAGTTTCAAACGTCTCCAGAGTTTTTAGATTCTTTAAAACTGTCTCTCAAACATCTTTTCACAAACGTTTCCTGATTTCATCAAATTGTGACAAAGAGGTAACTTTTTAAAGTGATGTCATCACGGTGTGAGTGGTGTGAGTCCACACACACACACACACACACACACTGACTCACATGGGGATGTTGAACTTGATCACCAGTCATTTCCTGTGTGGCGTCACATCAGTGAACACGGTAAACTTTCCACACACGTGTGTACAAACACACTAACTGAGTACACTTATTACACACAATCATTCACTACAGCATACATGATGTATTGGATTCTGATGATTGATGTTTTATTATGTTGTAAAAAACATCATTTAACATTAAAGCTCCTGTCCGTTCCTCTGGGTCAAAGGTCAAAGGTCATCTCAGCGTTAAAGTCGTTTCCTGATAGATATTTTATTTTGGATTCTAAAATGTAATGAAACATTCAATATTACAAGGAGCTGGAAGAACCTTCATCATCATCATCATCATCATCATCATCCTGGACTTGAGCTTTTGATACGATTTTTCCATGACGTCCTTATCGCTCGTCTTGAGGAGGTGGTTTGTTGGAGGAATGGAATTTCTCCCTCAGGATATTTTCCATTTTTTTTATTCTTATCTGAAGCTTCCTGAACGTGTTGAGTCAATATTTGATGAGTCATCATGCAGCAGTGGCTGATGGGAGAATGTTTCTTCATTCAGAGTTCACGCCCTGAAACGTTTTTCATCTTGAGTCTTTCAATAAAATAATATTTTACATTTTCAATTTACTTACATGATCAATATTCCCTGTGGTCTGTAACTAAATAACTAAAGTAATCAGATACATGGAGTGGATTACAGGTAGAATACTTCACTCTGAAAGTTTCTGTACTCGAGTACTGGAGTAAATGTAATCTGTTACTTCAAACTCCAACTTCAATCCCTGTGTGACGCTGCAGATGAACAGAGGTCACAGGTCAAACTCAGATTTTACTCCATCATGACATT